TGACCAATATTCACTTTAACTTGAATAACTCATTCCTTAAAAATGTAGGAATTGAATTCTCTTTTTTTCAGTTTAGTTTTTCAGTTTTTTTATATTCTTTTCTTCAGCTGCTTCATTTCTATAATTTTCAATATTTAAATTAGGATAATCATCAGTTTTTCTACAACACTAATTTTAAATCTGTTATATGTTTCAATAAAAGTTTAATTTTTGTACAAGAAAAATTCTAATAAATGTAGTTACGTTATTTTATTGGTGTATAAACAGTCATATTATGTATAAATATACAAGTTTTATTTTAAACACAGTCTCCCGGGGATAGAATAAACATAGTTTACATCGTGATTTAGAGAGGCCGTAATGCATACAACCACTTTCGATCGTAAATATACTCTCAACGCGACAAAGGGATTCCCTTCATCTTTATAAATATTTATATATTCAATGGTAGTTGAATCAAACTGGCAGCCAGTCAATAAATGATAACATAACAACTTGAAGCCCAATGACGTCATTTAAAAACATAAAATTTATAAAGATAAAATAATGAGAGTAATGAAATCAAACTATAAAGATAAATAAGATGTTCATGTTGACATTCTGTTGTGTATACTGTGACATGTGCCAATGATATATATTAAACATTCAAAACACGAACAATCTCACCGTCTAGCTGGTCCGCCCAGTGCCACTGTGGAGATAATATTATCTCACTGACTCGCTGGTCCGCCCAGTGGATATAATATCGACTCACTGGTCTACCCAAATAGTGTTATCTCTCTCTGACCCAGTCATTCCCACAGGCGCCTGTGGTCATTCCCATGAATATTGTTTGATAAAAAACGGTAAAAAAATACTGTTTGTGAAGCCCACCGCTTGTCTTTTCACGCCATTCTCCAAATTTCGCCATAGGTGGCGTCTTGTTTTTGACTTCAGAAGGCATATCCCATGATAACACGTTTTCCTGCTGTATTATCATAACAATACTACATTATCACACATTTCGTGCATAAATGAAATAAACATGGACAAAATAATTCCATTTTGAAATAAATAAAGTGTTTAAAGCATGGTTGTCATTCCATGTTAGAAACATTCAGAATAAAAAAAGAAGATACATTAGTATAAAAAAAACTAAACTAAACAAAACTCCAACAACATGAAGGCTTTTCCAACTGATATTTGTCACTGTCACTGTACTCAACCTGGCATATATCGAAATATGAACATTGTCCATAATTTTGTGTCATTTTATCATTTCTAAGCTTTCCTGGCAACCGACTGCACAATGATAAATACTAGTATGCTTGTGAGTATTTGCCGTGGAGCGCCACCTCAGTGGTCTGCTGTATGGTGGCGCTATTTTTTCCCGCTTTGACCTTTTATCCACTTAAAATGGCGGAAGAGTTGTTTCGTTGGGATGCACACGGAAATAAAAAGAGAATGCCGTGGAGTGTTAAAGTTCTGTCACGTCTCAATGAACAGAGAGACAAAACTATGTTCTGTGACATGATTGTAACCGTTGATGGGCATGAATTCAACGCACACAAATGCATGCTGGCTGCTTGTAGTCCTTACTTCGAGTCACTTTTCCGTAGCAACTTAATGGAAGCCCGGACGGGTAAAGTTGACCTTCAATGTACTTCGGTTGAAGGGATGCAGTCCATTTTGAATTACATGTATACTGGTGAGATAGAACTTAGCATGGATACCGTGGAAGACATTATTAGCGGCGCAGACCATCTGTTATTGACAAGACTGAAGCGAATTTGTGAGAAATTCATCGTGCAAGGTACTGCATCCAGTTATCGTTGTTTGCGGGCCTTGCAGTTAGTAGAGGCATACAACCTTGAAAAATGGGTGAGTAACATGGCGAATATGGTCTTAGCCAGGCGATTTTCCGAGGTACTACAAGACAAACAGTGTCAGCCACTTATAATGGAGCTTTCTGCTGACAGATTGTGTGATGTATTGTCACATGATAAGATGACGGTCAAAAAAGAAGAGGATTTGTTTGAATTTATTGTGAAATGGACGAATCATGCACCCACAGAGCGAGCACAACAGTTTACTAAATTGCTGAGTAAATTACATCTCATTGATGTCGATAAAAGTTATCTGATTGACTGCATACAGGAAGAGCCTCTAGTTCAGCAAAGTATGGAATCTAGAAAGTACTTTACAGAAGCTCTTCGATACCATTTGTTGCCAAACAGAGTAGATGTCAAGGGAAAATTAAAGCCACAGTTAAAGCCTCGCACAACCAGATTGATGGATATAATTATTTGTGTTGATAAACTTGGTGGTTGTTTATATAGTTATGTACTTGAGGAAAATGAATGGATGTCCTGTGGTACAAGTTCAAGAACAGAACAGACACCCTGTTATGCTGGTGTAAAATTAGGAAATCTGCTCTTGTGTGCTAAGCAGAGAAGAACTTGCGGAGGGGAAAAAAATATGTATGATCCTTTGAGTAATAGTTTTATAGATGGTGCTGGCACAAAACACGAGTATGGACAAGGCTCTGCAGTTGTGTCTAATGGTAAGATATACACATTTGGGGGTGGTCCACATTGTCAATCAGTGGAAATGTTTGACCCTGATAATAACGGCTGGATAGAGAAACCATCGATTCCTAGAGAACCAGGTTATATTCTACACACGGCTGCCACTAAGGATGGGCATATCTACGTCATATGTTATGAAAACAATCGTTTTCTGACAGTTTGGTGTCTTGATAGAGATGATATGTGGACTTGTGTACTTGAATATCGAGGCATTGAAATAAAAGAAGTTCAACCAACATCTTGCATTCAGCCATGCATTTCAATTGAATCGTTAAACGGGATTGAAGTGGAACTACCAGGTAAACAGAAAGTCGTCATCTCAAATGACCCTAACCATGAGGTATGCATCAAAGATTCCACAATGCCGCAAATTCCTTTTCCGAGAATTAATGCTGGTATATGCAATGTAAATGGGGACATCTACGTCTGTGGTGGTCTTGCAAAGAGAGAACACTACACCAAGTTTGGTGACACTAACTCTGTGTGTATGTTTAATTCCTCCAAACAGATATGGAAGAATTTACCCAGCATGCCAAGGAGAGCAGAGATTGTAGGGTGTGCCTTGTTTCAGTCACCGCATGAAGTTTACTCTCCTTGATTTAGCAAATTGATTTTAAAAAGAGGTTGTCCCTATTGTTGTCGTATCTTATTCTATCAACTCTGAAAATTTGTGATTTTTTTAGATTTGGCAAGCAGTGCTGTGCATCATGTCTAAATCAATACGGAGAAGAAACATTGTCTTGTTGCCATAATCATGCATTACATAAAGTATACATACAATATCTTGTGTATAATTAGGTAGTCACTACTAGAGCATGTGAATGAAATAGTTCTTAAAGTATTGATTAACACTGTCTTATCAGTGTTTATTTGCTGCCATAGTAACATCTGTCGGTAGATTTCATATGCATACTCTGAAGTTTCACCTGTTTGTATTTTAACATTTTCTGCATTCAAGGTACATCTCAAATAGAGATACAGTAGAATACTTTATTTTCGCTTTAATGGAATTAATTTTATCTATTTTCGCTGAAGAAATGATTCAGTGAAAATAAAATATACCTTTTTTCCTATATTTTACATTCAACTTGTCAATTATCAGTGAAAATTAATTCCAGCTAAATTAAAGTATTTTACAGTACATAAATATACTGTTTTATAACAGAATGTCAAATAATATATTAAAGCTAATACAGTATCTGAGAACCAGAAGATACAAAATATGAAGAAGTGCTTATTAGCGCAATATGTTTATTTATGTATACAAATTGTAGCAACCCAGTGCTGTCATCTTTTATCTGAAAGCTAATTATGTTTTCTGACAAGGTGTTAGCAAAATTAGAACTTGTTTCATAATGGGGTGGTTATTTAGTTTTTAGAGCTAACTGTTCCATAATTTTGTTTTTCTTTTAAGAGCTGTTTTATAATTTCGTTTTTTTTTACTTTTTAGAGTTAACTGTTTCATATATACATATTAGTATTAAGTTTCATAATGGAGTGGGGTGTTTATGTAAGTAGTACAACCAATATTTACTGTGTTCACATCTGTTTTGTGCTTTACACTGAAGTAAATTACCTCAGTATATGGTTGCTAAAAAAGAACCACGCTTGTAGCATAAGAGAAAAACTGGTGTGAATACATTACATAAAGGAGTTTAAACCTCGCTTGAAGCTGGATATCAGCATAGGTGAAACTGTTATGTAATAATTGTCATAAATGGGCTTAAATATGGAGGAGATGACCCCCAGCGACCATTCACAACAGGTGATATACGCATTAGCATCTCAAAATGAATTTGAGTGTTACAGTCAACCGTAACTTTATTTAAGTTATTTTAAAGCAGGTGAGCTAGCATTGTTCGGCAAATTTTAGGCAGCTTAGATTGTTATTTTGACCTGTATACATTGTTAAACTCGAAATATACCGATTGGTTCTAAAATAGAATTGAAACAACATTAGCTCCATGTTCTAAAAAATTGATGTTACCGGGTACATTTGTAACTGTAATATTGTTAACTATTATTGCTCGATATATTGAAAAAATACACACAAGACAGAAACGTGTGTACTCAAACCATGCCTCCCATACCATTTGACTCTGTTATCGCTGCGATAGTGTTATTGTTGGGAGTCAGGACCTATAACCCCGACTATGTGAAGAATTAGGTTGGGAATAGCTATACAAATGAAGTCGTGAATATTTATACTATTTCACTAATAGCAGTGTGAGCTATGTAGTGTGTATGACATATAAATTGTTACCGTAATCATATCTTGTAGTAGTAGTTCTAAGTGTAACTGTCTTTATGGTCAGCAGGTGTCACAAGGCAAAATTTAATCACAGTTTGCCTGCTATTTGGCTGTGCCATATTTGTTCTGTTTTTTTCATAGTTATTCATAAATTTTATCTTTTTTATACATGTCTTCGATTAAAGGTATTATGGTTATTCATTATATTTAATATCCAAAGCCTTCTGACAAATGTGTATTTCTATAAATATTCTATATAATAAAATTACAATCTTTTAAAACTGTTATTGTTAGATGTGTATGTTTTTCACCGATCTCTTTCACCATTGTAGGTGCAATGTGACAGACATGCTCTGTGCGACATAATCTACCGTAATTAGTCCCCGTTCGAATGCAGTCTGAAAATGGTAACCTCTGTGCGGCACCTGTTCAAAATTGTCAAGAACCAATCACAAGACTGGTTACGAACGAGTTGAGCTAGGCTAACCGAATCGTAATTGCGGTGTGGCTCGTAACATAATCTACCGTAATTAGTCCCCGTTCGAATGCAGTCTGAAAATGGTAACCTCTGTGCGGCACCTGTTCAAAATTTTCAAGAACCAATCACAAGACTGGTTACGAACGAGTTGAGCTAGGCTAACCGAATCGTAATCTCTGTGGCTCGTAACCAGTCTTATGATTGGTTGTTGACACATTCTGAACAGGCCACGCCTCCAACTGTGCCGTGCGTTCGGGCCAACCGTTAATTAATGGAGTCAATTTGATTTATTCTGCATATATAGGTAAAATATAGGTAAGGCTTTGGCGAAATTTGAAAGAGCAACTAATATTCTTCAACCTGGTATTTTTTATAGATTTTATTTTTCATTCTGTTTCTGTTTTTTCCAGTTTAAAAAATATGAGCTCGCTGGAGCCTAAATCCCGTGTCTATTTCTTGCACTAGACCCCCCACTAGGGAGTGCGTACAGTTGATTATAGTTCCTGGGCTCCCTGTGGTTGTTTCTTGTAATCTCAGCAAAGAGTAATTTTTAATTTCTGTTGCATAAACATATATGACTATAGCCACCAGGAGATGTACTGATAATCTTTCTGCGAGTTAGCAATTCCTGACAAATTTATGGTACTATTTCTGCTGCGATCACATCAAAATTACAATGCATTAATTCCCTACAGGCGACACTCTATAATTCAACTGTCCATACAAGCTAATAGTAAAGCCGAAAATCAGGGTTGTTGAACGAGTTCCCAATAAGTCATGTTCTCACAATTTGAAAATACCGGTAAGTAGAAAAGAATGATTTCTCTATTTTTAAAATCAAATAAAGTAAACCATACCATCACAGTAGCTAAATGTTCTAAAATCAAAGCTGAATCAACCTCTCTGATATTGACAATGATAGACAACTTGACCAAGCTCAGCAAGTATTTCATAAAATTCCACTCACAAATTTGAAGGATTTGATATAATATTTAATAATATAATACAATTTTAATACAAGTATACCAACCCTTAGCAAAAAGTTGTTTTGAAACTCAAATGAATTTATTATTGTTCTATGTGACCATGTGCTTTCATACAAGCTACAATTGTAGTGTGAACACACCTACAGAATCAATATATTAATGGCATGGACACCATTCCTCCCATTCTGTGCAATTAACATGAAATTCTACATGACAGACTTTTAGAAAATATATAGTTATAAGATATAAGGATTTGCACAAAATTCAGAATATATACAGATATAATCAATGATTGGTTAATTTGTTTTTTTCATTAAATAATTATTTCATTTTAAGAAAAAAAATAGCCAATGATATGCTTCTATTAACTACAATTTCTATGACAGAATCCAACCAATGCTGAGGCAGTTTAGATATCCATAAATGTAGTTACTTTTAGTATCCAATCACAGCAGCTCTTACTGTTATGGTACAATCCAATCAATAGTGAGGCAGCTTAGATACTATCCAATCACAGCAGCTCTTACTGTTATGGTACAATCCAATCAATAGTGAGGCAGCTTAGATACTATCTAATCACAGCAGCTCTTACTGTTATGGTACAATCCAATCAATAGTGAGGCAGCTTAGATACTATCCAATCACAGCAGCTCTTATCTTTACACCCCAACAGTCTTCCCAGTTATTTAAGAAGTTAACAGAGCATTTTAACTGGAACATGAAGTCTTGAAAATGATTGAAAAAGTAGGACTAATCATGATACAGAAATCCTGAAAATTGACAACTAAAAATATACACCTTATACAGACCAGTTAAAAGAACATGAAAAGAGGATATCATTTGCAAGCATGGTATTCTCAAACTAAAGATGTCTGTTTTCAATTTGTATTGCTCATTATCAACAATTTGTTTTCATAATTGTTTGTACAATTCATTCTCATTTATTTATTTACAATTTTACTCCCCATCACCAATAATACTTTTTTTTGTTTCTGAACTTAAATAATGTCAAAAATAGCTTATATATTGTTTTCAAAACAAGAAAATTAACATAAACTAAAACATTTAAATTAGTCCAAAAAAAGTTTAAAAACAAAATATTTTTAGTACTGAAAAAATGACTTGTACATAATATAACAATATTATTTTGGGATACTCAATAATGTATTCAGTTTGATAAAATTTAAGATAAATTAAATTTCATTGAAAGATTTTGCACATTATTTTCTGTAAAATTGTATTTGTTTATTTTTGGACCAAATGAACAAAACTTCTCATTGCCTTGATCAAATTATTCGAAAAAAAAATATAAGGAAAAAGTGTTTTGGTGGAAGGTGACAAGAGCTGACTTTGTTGTTCAAAAGGTTTCAGGGCGGTGGTTGGCACACAGCGCATATTCGAGTTTCATGTAAACAGTCAACTGTAATTTACACATGTTATATACTTCACTATGAGTTCTATTTGATTATCCTCTTTACTTTTTTTTTAATTTTACTTGACTATGTTCATCTGCTATAGAAAGAATAATGTCAATAAAGTTATCTTATCTTATATCGAACAGGGCGCGGCATGACAACCGCCGTCCTTCATATAAGAATTGTTTTCTGGCGACTGTAAGAATGAGTAAATTGTGATGAAAAACAGAAAGTAAATTTTGTATGATGTACAATTTTTAAGTTTCCAGTTTAAATTTATTTTGACAAATTTACAAACTTCAATCAATCTGATATAGGTTTTGATATTCTACAAATCATACAAAATAACAATAAACCTAAAATCAGATGTATTGCCTGAAAAATCATATATACAGATATAATATGTCCATGAATATGACAAATGAAAAAAAATCTAACATTTTATGTAAAAATAAAAAATAATCTAACATATTAAAGTGCGACAATAGTCACGCAACTCGTGTTAGATTTTTGTATAAAGAAACAATGTATTATAAACGTGTTGCATACATGTACATCGCTATTGGTCAATTTCGAACACTGCGGCATGACGACTATAGCGCTTTAAATAATATAGGGAAATGAAAATTGATCTAACATATATTAAATGGACAAATGAAAAATGATATAAAATGTTATATAATATGGACATTTCAGTCAATCAATCAATCAAATATTTATTTTGCCTAATAATGTACACTTGTAATTTACAAAACAAATTGAAAGAAACATTTGATCACATACTGATCTGGAATAAATATTTGGGGCAAAATAAACAAAATTACTCAGTTTATTCTGACTCCATGGTGATTTTTGTTGTTAAAAATTTGATCGTATTTGCATGTAACAGTAAAAGTTTAATTTTGGTATTTAATAAATATTATTCAAAACATCATGCTAATTATTTCTATGGCCATCTAATGTGATATTAATATAATAAATTTGCTTTTGATGTGAGATACAAGACACCAATGTTTACATAGCAACCATTTTTTTTAGAAGCTGAGCATTCATTTACAGGCAAGGAAGTAAATATACAAACATTTAACAAGTTACGTGTCAAGCCTGGTAAATAATTTATGTGAGGGACCTGATTACGATTGTTTTTGCAGATTTAGTGGGAACTGTTCAATGTTCAATGCAGATGTATCAAAAGTAAAATAATTACTGTAGAGTTAGCCCGACATGTAGGTGTGAGTGGCGCCCTCACTACACCCCACTAACGCCGGACAGAATAGTGTATGTCTCGTCGTCAAGATGAATACTGCGAAATCCCAAATTTCATGCCTTCTTGCAATGAGTTTCAATGAATATTCATTTTTGTCGTCATGGTAACACCGCCAATAAAAGCCGTGTTTGCATTGTTGGCAAAAATCATAGACTGTTTTCAACAAGATGATGAACATTGGGCGGAAATTTGAATGGTTACGCTTTGATGACGCTCCTGCAATTTGATTGATAGCAACAAAATATCGTTGGGGAAGTTCTGTCAGGCGTGTGTTGGGTTTTGAACACAGCGAAGAGCTTCACTCACACGACCTTGTCAGGCTAACTCTAGATCAAATAAATCATGTGAGATGTCACACATATTGCTCTTCACTGCCCTCTCTGGCTTTCTGGATTTCTTTTTCCCAAGGTTTTAATGCTCCACTTCTGTTTTGCTTCTTTCTTTCCTTTTCCAATCTCGCTGCTCGCTGCCGGTCTTCTTCCAGTCTTCTCTTTCTTTCTTCCTCTTCTTTCCTCTCTCTGAAGAATAAGTTTATTGAAATACATCAAAGTTTGAATATGAGAACGAAGAAACAAAATGAAGACAAAAATTCCATCCTTTAATAGTCATCAACACTAATCCAATCACATTTGTTAATAATTCTAGTTCATTCCAGTATTCTGGAAAACAACGCCCTCAATCTTGTCTCATTAGTAAGACTAGGTTTATTCAAAATGATTGAAACACTTTTTAAGTCAATTTGGCTGAAAAATTTGAACAGCGCCCTCTATGGATTTATACACAATTCCAAAAACCTCAAGAACACAGATAAGAAAATCGTCATTAACCAAGCAATGATTTATCACTAGGATACTGGTAGTCTGCAATATAGCTTTATTGGGGTAATAGGACTCTTATGCAATATAATCGGTGGTCTGATGTTGTGCCAATCACAGAGGAAAACAGGATTGTGTCTTATTTTGAAATATCAAAATTAAAAAAAAAACACTACACAAAAAATGCACTTAGCAAAACATGCAGCCTCGGCTGAGATAGCTGTTAGCAATGAACATATCAATTAAATAATGTAAGATTTCATCACAAAATGAACAAATCTGAGAAAGGTCCAACTGCAGTGCCTGTATGTATAATATCAAAGCATTCAGACTGGTGATTTTCAACAAGATGACGAAAATATCACTTACCAAAAATGGCAAAAATATTCACAATTAGAGAAATAAAAATATCACCAAGAAATAAACAAATCTGAGTGAGGTGAGGTGAGTATCAAAGCCATCAGACTTGTAGTTTTCAAGAAGTAGAAAAAGTAAAAAGTTGATGCGAACAACGATGGACACTCACTCGTATGATAATCATATGCATATCAATCACATAGTCGACAGCGAAGATAAAAATGTGAAAAATGTGCTTACTGAGCTGCAGCTTCCTCTTTTTTTCTCAATAAATCAGCTTTCCAGGCGGGCAAATTCTTGTATTTATTTTCTTGCTCTTCCTCCTGGGTATGATAAGAAAATAAATATAGTCAATGGAATGTCTGTTTGTTGAAATATAAAACGAACAATTTGTTTTTAAAGATATACGTTTTTATACGTTAGTATGTCAGCTGAAGTTTTTTTCTTTATTAAGAGTGAGTGAGAAGAGACTCAAAAGTAATGAATTGGTTGTTACCTAGCAACCAAAAAACTTTTTGCAAGTTAGCCAGATGTTAAAGGGAAGCCATCAATCCCTGGGATTGCATCATGGGTCATTGTTTATGTTGTTTACACTGTTGATCTGTCTCTTGTTTTGCATTGTAATTTTAATCCAGTGTTAAAAGGTAACGGTAGTAATCATTGCATTGTATCGTGTTCGATATGGGTCCCATAGCGATGGGTACAGCATGTGTAAAATACAATATTTGTTCACATGAGATTTGAACATGTGCTGCTATTTAAATAAATTTGCAGTGGAATTAAGCTTAACCTCTGTTCTTTTGTTTTTTATTGAAATTGTAATTTTGTATGTGAATTCGCTCCCAGAATAATCTGAGAAGCAATGTCCCAATAAAATACAATTTAGTACATATACTGAGTATGTACTGAAATAATCATTTGCCTAAAAATTTTATGTATATTTAATTCACAGGACATTTCTGGCAATATCACAAAATTTAATCCTAATTTTTCCTTACATTTTCAAAGATTGCAAAATACCTCTTTCAAATGTCACTTGGTTTCCCTTGACAAAGTATGTCATAATTTTAAAGTGAGAAGTGCTCCAAGGCACCTGATTGGTTACACACCTAGCCAATTACAAGATACATGAATAAATTAAATAATCAAGGTTTAATAACATCAAGGTACTTTAATAGCGAGAAAACTAACTATGTTATACAAAGTATTATAGTCAGCTGTGAAACAAGGTCACACATTTCAAAATGGTCATTAGCAATAAGGCCCAGGCAAAAACACTTTTTGATAATTTTTTTTTTTAAATTACTGTACAAAGTACAGAAATTTATTTTAACTTGCATTTTCAACTTCTCATAAATTGTTTTTTTTTTATTATTTAATTTAACTGAAAAAAAAAACCGAGCATTGACCAAAAATATAAATTTGTTTGAGCCAACCTTTAGACTGGGCGGGAATCAATGGGGTCTGATAATACAGTGGTACAACTTTGACTTGTTATTCATGCAACCCATTTTACCCACATCCATGTACCAGCTGACACAGAGACATGGTGTCAGCAAATAGTACTTTTCATGTAAAATGTATGTTAATTTCACTTGACTCACAAACGATCACACAGAAAACATAGCGCACATGAACTAAATGAACCAAATAATAGCCTGGATTAATGCAATTTAATTTAATGAAATGTTTATATTAGTAATGCCTGCTACAGAATTTCTAAGTCTAATGTTAATTATAATTTTAAAAATGAAAAATGCATAATGTATTGAAGTGTATGGAAATATTTAGATATTATTATTATTTGTTTTCAGATACCTAGATACACAATTGTAATTTTCTTTTCTACATACTTTTTAAAGTGGCCAGGGTTGCCACCTGTGCTTGTGTGGGAATTGAGTTCTAAGTGACAATAACAGTGGATGATGAAATGCAAAGGCTTATAAGCAGATGCTTATTTGTAAATAGTAACACACTATAGTATGTGCGTGTGAGGATTCCCCATTGCCATGAAATATTAAAATTTCACACAATTTATAGAATCCCCAAACACTAACGTTCCCACAAGCATGAATTATACAAATTGTTTGTCACTATATAGTAACACATTACGGTAATCTTATTGGTCAATGTGATCACCACGCTGTCTTCATGAATCATTTGGGCTATTCTCGTAATAAAAACATAATCTAGTTTTGATAAACATTCTTATTATATTTTTTACAAAAAAACAAAAACTGATGATTTAATCAATTGATAATAAGGTGATTAATGGTAATATAAAATGAATTTGGTATAAAGCATGAAATTACAGGACTATGATAAAAAACACAATTAGTCACTTATGAGGGAAACACAGAAGGTATTATCACACACAATATTTCTTTTTACCCTTGTTTCATAGAGTTTCCGTACAGCGGGTACAACTTTACCTTCCTCTAGCTGAGAATAATAAGACGCAGTGAGAAACAGAAAGAAACAGAGAAAGCGGTATTATAGAAATATAAAGCAATACACAACATAGTTGAGACATTGCACACCTTGCAGATGTAACACAATGTGTGGAAATGAAAACAAGACAGTACAGAACAGAACGCAGACGTTGTGAAATATACCCTTCCCTATTCCATGATTTACTGCCAATACTTAGTTTACTCTAAATTCCATGATAATTTTTGATTAAACTGATAAAAAAAGACATTCAGATGTGTTGTGTAATAAATATAATTTCAACTGAATTTGTAAAAAACAATAAAAGTTATAAAAGTTTAAAGACAGCCGACTTTTACAACTTTACCATTTATATTATTAGAAGAGGTGCATGCTGGGAAATAATGTCACCAAATTGTCATTGGTTCTTCTCATGATAATAAACAGCATACAATTGACAGTAAAATGCATAGAAATGAGGGAAATTTACATATACATAGACGACACACAGATATAAATACTAATGGATTAAGCAACGAAATCAAACAAATGAAAATACAAAGACAAATTGAAATAAAACAATGAACAAATTTGAGGGGATTTGGCTTGGAGCAATTAAAATACAGCAAATCTAGGGATGGCTCAGAGAAATAAAACAAACTAAGTTTTGTGGGACGGCATTCGATTTGATGCTTCAAAGTGCCCTGAGTGACAACGCAGTCCTGCTGCAATAAAAGTAATTGTATAAAAGAAAATGTAATTTTTAAAGTAAATTTTTATGCGATTGTATCAGTGAGAAGCTAAGCGAAGGAAACTTGTAAAAAATGTATACAATTTATTTGAAAAAAAACACACTGTTGCATTTTATATTTTCCAAAAAAAAAATTGTCAACTTCTGCACTAAAACTCAGTTCCTAAACAACTATTTATTACTCAGTAATTTTGTTTTCCACCATTTTTTCGAGCAAGCAGTGGCAGTAAAAAACTTCATAAGTTGAATGAAAGCAGAGAAGTCTTAACGCACCCTGGGCCGCTACAAAACGTCAAATCGAATGCACCTGTGGAAACAGAATTATAGTTTGAGATGAAATAACCCACCTTCTTTTTCTTCATATTTTCAGCCGCTTCTTTAGTTGCTTGTTCGGCTGCTTTTCTCGCCATAATCTGACGTTTCCATTCCGGGATGGGTCTACCACCATCATCTGTCTTCGGTATTTGATCTATTACATCCTTAGCTGAGAAGACTTTACCTCCTTCACCAGTTGGTGTGGCTGAATTTATATCAATATCCATCTAACAAAAGTGATGAAGAAATATTTCTCATTATTAGCCAATCAATCAATCAACCAACCACTCATTCTATCCTCCTTATCTCATCACTTCCCTCTCACTCATCTTTCACTCACTACTTATTTCTCCCTACTCATCTCTTGTTACTCACCCCTCTCACTCATTATTCACCTCTCAATCACTACTCATTCACACATGCATTGACTCACTATTCACCCCTCTTTCATTATTCACTCACTCACTCACTCACGCACCTTTCACTACTCATTTACTATTCATCTCAAACTCACTATAATACTCACTCACTCACTCACTCACATCTTACTCACATCTCACTCACTACTCCCCTTCCACTACTCATTTACTATTCATCTCAAACTCACTATAATCATCACTCACTCACTCACCTTTCACTAATCATCTCAAACTCACTATAATCATCACTCACTCACCTTTCACTAATCATCTCAAACTCACTATAATCATCACTCACTCACTCACTAACTCATTATAATTATCTCTCACTCACATATGCATTGACTCACTACTCATTTCTCACTTACTAGTTAATCACTACTCACTTTGCATTCACTAAACTTTCACTCACCTCTTATTCACTACTCACATCCATGCACTTATTAATTCACTTACTACTCGCCTCACCCCACTCAGTTCTCACTCAAGCACTAACTCACCCAGTCCATTAACTAGGTAAAAAAAAGAATCAATTTAAAGGTCAATCAATCAATCAATCAAAATTTAACACATGCTTTTTGCACTTACCCGTTTACTGACAGCATTACTTCTTGGTTTATCTCTCTGCAGTGATTTTCCAGCTTTGATTT